CGCCAACTGTAGCAGGGGATACCTGTAAGCGACAGTGCAATGTCCTTACCATTATTCCTTCAATATTTGGCTTTCCAAAATTTTCTTATAACAATTTTCCACCCGTCTACCTGCAATTCTCAATATTTATCATAAAATAATATTGGAAAGAAAATGTAGAGACGATTTTTCATCATTGTGGTGTTCTTTTTTTTACATTTTCTTTTTCAAACTTCTTAATTGTTGTAATCTATTACTCATGGATAATTGATAGAATGATAACTATCTTATAAAAGAAATGGATACTGTCAAAAAATCTTGATTTATCTTGTACCAGCATAACGAATACAGGCGATATTTTTGTAAATGAAAATACCTCATTACGTTGGAATCGGAGTCTTCTCGACACCTAATTTTATAGATCGGCTTTGGACGAGTCGACTTTCTATGTCTAGTAGCGCGAAATTTAAATTGTCCTATCTAGTAAAATTTAGTTTTTATCCTTTCCCCGATATTATTATTTTAAAACCGTGGGTTACCTAGATTGTAATTTTATTACATTTATACAACGATTTTTACCAAGATTTGTTTCATTTGTATTACAATAAAAGTTCTTTATTCATATATAAATTTTCTAATGTACTAGGCGAAGATAAAGAGAAAAACATGATAAAAGGCAATTTTACATATTTTTATAATTAACCATTAATTATTTAACTTTTTATTTGGGCATAATTACTAAAGTCGTAATATATTGCATAAAAATTTTAATAATTTTTAATTACAAATTATTTTTCAGCTAAAGAAACTTGTATTTGATGTATAATATATATCATATGCTTTTGGTAAAAGTACGTAAATATGGCGTAGAGGCCGCTAGCCACATTGATTTTTCCCCCGAAATAATATCTTTCCTTGGTTTTACAATTTTTAACATCGTAAAAATGAAGCAAGTTAAAACAAAAAGGTGAAATTCATTTCATTATTCCGCCGGGACTTTTTACCCAATAATATCCTCATCCTTCTTTGGGTCCCCCTCTCCCTTTACTGCCTTACCGCGTCCCTCACCGTCGCCCCGCAGTCATGACGTCCTCTCGGCCTCTGCTCAACAGCCTGCGCCGGCCGCTCGTCCTGCGTTCGATTCGTGTTCGTTAGCAGCGTACTGGCCTAGCCCTGGGAATGCCATGAGGGCCATGCTACGGCACCGGCGCCTTCTTCCCTCTCAGTCGAACCGCATGCAATTGCCCCCCCCCCTCTCGATCTCTCGCGCTCACTCACTCTCTCTCTCTCTCTCTCTCTCTCTCCCCCTCACGTCTTATTGACCCGTACCCGGTTCTATCCTCGTCTCACTCGCGCAACTCAAGTTTCGATTCGTTGCTCCGCTCCTCCGTCCGCACGCCTGTTCGGCCATACCATGCACACATGCGCACATTCACGCGCATGTACACATAGATAATATTTTAAATATATAATGCTTTACTTGACGCTTATCAGCCAGATGAGAGAAATAAACAGAAGGTCGACTATCTGGGTATTATTCCTACAAAAATTATATAAAACATTTATTTTATCCTATTTAATAGCTCTATTTTTTAATAACAAACCCGTTTTTTCCGTTGTTCAACAATATAAAAATTCATAGTGAAATGTATGTCACAAAAAGTTCTATTTCTTCTTTTTCCGTAATATAGTAAGCGCTCCTGCGAAGAAAAACTAAATAGGAATGCATGGCTCGCATTTTACCTCGACTGCAAATAATTACGCGCATACCCGCGACTACATTCACCATTTTCTGACAGATTAATCAATGCGCTTTTACTAAATTCTGGTCATTTTTAACAGTTTGTTAAGAATGTACAAATAAATATTGATTTCATAAATTTATTAATAAAGCTGCTTCGAGTGAGGGTCTATTGCGTCAGTAACTGAAAGACCCTTAACTTCATCTGTATTATTATATAGTAATCATCGGGATGTAACAATATGAAAAATTTCGTGAGAGGAGAAAAACCTAAAGACCTACATGGGTTGGAACCCGTGTTTATTAAAGATTGCATAAGCGAACCTCCAATTGCGCAATACTTCGCTTATATTTTTCTTACGTGCGCCTGCGCATGCGTGCGTACTTAACCACCACGGTTATTAAAGGTTCTAAAGAAGATGGTGCAAGGCCGCGGACGGCTGTGTAGGAATAGAAGAAAAAAGCCGAAGCCAAAAATTGTGCTCGAGGCGAGGGGACGGAATGGCACAAGTCGAGTTTGTGCATTTAAAATATTGGAAACAAAGACTATAATATCGCAAATAAATATCGTCGCTGTCGTTGAATGAAAGAAAACAGAAATAAGAACAAGACGCGAGGTTATAGAAGATTAATATAAATATAAACTTAAAAACAGAAGCGTGAAAAATGCGCGGGAAAAGCTGTTAGCGTTTAATCTCGCGAACGCCGCCTCTCCTAAGAATGTTGCAGCTTTTTCCAGCTAAACATTATTAAAATGGTGGTGATGAATTTTATTGGGAAAATAGATTATCCCGGATGCCAATATGGATAACTGTGCTAACGAATATTTTTACAAGAGTGCTTAGAAAATTCAAGTTTTTTCTTCGTTATCATTACGTCGTTGTCGTCGGCGGCGTCGGCGTCGACGTCGACGTTATGCGTTATCTTTAACCTCTATTATTCTCCCTTTCTCTTGATCGAGCATATGCCTAAATGTTGACCTCGAGTTTCAAGGGTAGAGAGAAAATAAGAGAAGGGAGAAGGGTTTGGTGTGCGAGCATACCGCGTCGCGTGGCTACATCGTGTATACATATATGAGAAAGGACACTGTCATTGAATGTATGCGCGCGGATGCGTGGCATTGGCGGCAATTCCAGTCGAAGCGTCGGCTAAAGCATCGGAGAGGGAGTTTGGTCGGGCGATGTTGCCTCATCTCGAGTTCGGACGTTCTCCCGCCATCGAGGCAAACCTCGTTTAGCAGACCGATTGGTCGGCGCTAGTTACTTCTCCTTTGTGAACGGCCGTCTGGTTTGAGCTCTCGGCAACGTCGCTCGTTAGTTTGAGAGAGAGCGAGCGTTAGTATTGCGAAGGGGAATTGACGCCACCGACCTCGTTTTCTCTGTCTTCTGTCGAATGGGGCGACACCAACCGGTGGCAGGGCGGCTGGCAGAGCGAGAGAGTAAGATAGACTCGTAATGAGTGGCCTCGTCTCGCTCAGTTCGAATGGCCCCCGTGGAAAAGCCGTTACGAGGATGAGAAAAATGACCGGTGAAATGACGGTCAGAACCAAACAGCATGTACGTGATATCGACAATTTTTCGTAGCATTTGAGAAAGAAATAAAATAATGAGTAAGTAAGAAATCGCGCTTGTTGCATGGAAATTTTTTCCATGCTATCGCGCCTACACTATTATGCGCGCAAACTATTCCGGAGAAAAGGAAACGTACAGAAGATAGAATAGCCTAGTATGAAGAGCTTTGTAGGCGCTGTGGCGTGCTAGCATTAATGTGCGGAAAAAGGAGAAAAGGAATGCTAGAGCAAGCAAGATGGAAGGTGGCGCAGGCGCTCTATTCTAAGTGTGAGAGAGAAAGCGACGCTATTGAGAAAGAGAGAGAGAGTGAGAGCAATCATACCGCTAGGCGCCGTAGAGGGGGAAGGTCGAGAGCCCAGAACACAGCGGCGCAAGAGAGATGAAGAAACGGTCGAGGGCCAGCGATTTGGGGGGAAAGAAAAAGAGGGAAGGAGCAGCGTGAGCGAAAGAACGGGCGAACGAACGAACTAACGAACGAACGAACGAACGAACGGGCGAACGAACGAACGAGCGAGCGAGCGAGCGAGCGAACGGGCGACCGACCGACCGACCGACCGACCGCCTGCCTGCGCCCGCCTGCCTATAACCTCCCTTGTCCACCCGCCTCCTCGCTCGGCCACGGAACTCATAGGCATAGCAGGGCCTTAACCAACGTTGGAGCGCCAATACAGCGTGGAGCGAAACATCTTCAGTTAACCGTACATATTTCTCATCGCTTCTTCTCGTTGCATCTTTCGCTGTTTCGTATTACGGAGATCTTCTACACACACGCGCGCGCGCGCGCGTGTACGTACATCGACCCTTCAGCCACGAGACCAAGTGAGACGAAAATAGTGCGTCCTGTCGGACGTATTCCTCGCCGTGTGAGGACAGCAACGGCAACACCAGCAACAACAGCAGCAATAGCAGCAGCGGCAGTCGCAGCCGCCGCTACCACGAGGGAGCAAAGTGCGAGCGACGTGCGCCCCGTCGCCGCCGCAGCCGCTATCGCCGCCGCCGCCGCTGTCGCCGCCGCCGCTGCCGTTGCCGCCGACATTTTGTTGTGTAGTCCCGACCAAGTCGAACCGTGTGCGCGCGTGTAATTGTGAGTGTGTCGCGTTTTATGTGCGCGTGTGCCGCCGCGGCGCACAAAGTGCAACAGCCGACGAGGAGGACCTTGCCGAGGAAGGGAACGTGGTGGTCCACGAAGAGTAAATCCACGACAAAGACAACGTTTGCATTAGCAGCCGTTAAGCGCAACGTCGCCACGACCACGATTACGATTACGATTACAGCAACGACGACGAGGACGACACGCCGCGACGCGTTTTACCGCCTCCCGCCGGTCCGTCGGACGCGCCTCAGCCGTCCGTCGAACGGAAGCGGCGCGGCACCCTCGAGTCGTTGCTCTCCGCGATAAATATAATAAAGGGGCGGCAAGCTTCCGTGAAAGCGTGCACAGCTTGTAGACAAGAAGTAACAGCACTACCGACTTGCGCGGGGGAGAGGGAAGAGCGCGCTATCCGGGCGCTCCGCCATCGTCGCGAGTAGCGGCACGACGCCAGCGCGAAACAAAGCCTAGAGGTAGAAGTGTACGGTGGTGACCGTGTGCGTAGCCCGTTTAATTCTTTGGATCCAGGTGAGAAGTGTCATCGTTTACGAGGAGGCCG